TGTGTTAAACTAATTATTTTTTAAAAAGTAACGAGTCGAATTTTGCAAATGTAGCGGAGTAAAAGTACCGTTTCTTCTTCATAAATGTACTCAAGTAAAAGTAAAAAGTATCGTGCAAAAAGGTACTTTAAAAGTACTTTTTTTCCAAAAACTTACTCAAGTAAATGTAACTCGTTACTACCCACCTCTGCTTACATACCTGATTTGTTTACGCATCAACACGATGATGTCACCACCAAACGTGAAAATAAAGGAGCTCTGATTCTTCTGTGCACTGATTGGCTCCGCAGGGTGCTGATGTCATCAAAGTACCCCGACGGCCTGACAGGACGTATCGAGTTTAACGACGACGGCGACCGGCGCTTCGCCACCTACAGCATCCTGAACTACCAGCAGAAACCAGGTCGCCTCGTCCAGGTTGGAGTCTTTAACGGAACACAGGTAGAGTACACCTGCTACACCTGCTGCACCAGCTGCTACACCTGTCTTTACAGCTGCTATCTGCTGCACCTGTGTATACACCGTCAGTGTCACTGACGTCATACGTCACAGCAGCTCTCATTACCATCCAGTCAAACTTCCCCTTTGCTCTTGCTGCTCTCCTGTCACAGTCACCCCTGACACTCGTCTCCACCTACTCCACCCTGCCTCCACTCTCTTCTTTACCTGTCTGTGAAGGGTTGACCACTACCTCTGCTCCCTATATGTCCACCTGTCCCCCTCACCCTCACACCTCCACCAATCAAGCCTCTCACTGCAGATCACAGTGTCATCTGCAAACATCATAGTCCACAGAGACTCCTCCTGCCAAGCTCATCCATCAGCCTCTGTCCCCATACACCACCCTCACCGACGTCTCTCTGTCCCCATACACCACCCTCACCGACGTCTCTCTGTCCCCATACACCAACCTCACAGACGTCTCTCTGTCCCCATACACCAACCTCACAGACGTCTCTCTGTCCCCATACACCACCCTCACCGACGTCTCTCGGTGAGGGTGGTGATACTCAAAATATCACACAAATAAATAGTGTTTAGTTCCAAATAAAGATCCAAGGAGGAGGAATAAGCCTGTGACAGTGTAAATCTCGCATGAATCAGTGAGTGCTGCAGCTACAGTCGCTGCAGTAGTTCACTATTGATTAAATGAGATGAATGTTTAGTTCGGTGACAGGTACGACGCCAGTCAGAGCCGAGCTGCTGAGAGAAACATGGTGTAGCGAGCGAGCATCCAGGCCTCCTGCCTCTTTAAATATGAATGCATAGATGCAGTATTGATGCTGTCATTTAGTCAGCCTGTCACAGTGAGACCTGCGTGCAACAACATCACAACCTGAGTGCTCACCGTGTGTTTCTGTGTGCCCTTCAGGTTGTGATGAACCCTCAGAGGAAAATCATTTGGCCTGGAGGAGAGACAGAGAAGCCAGTCGGATACCAGATGTCGACCAGACTGAAGGTAAAACCGCAGCTCGACGCGTCGGTTCGGTTCATCGTCTCAGAAATGTGATGCCGCTCCTTTTGCAACTTTTTATGTTGGACGTTTTTGAAGACATGAGCTCTGCAGATAATGATGAGTTGTGGTTTGTTGTTGTGTTCTTCATGAATCAGGTCAGATGTTAAGCCAAGCCACAGCATGAAAAATGCCTTTTTAATCTGTTACATTTCATTTTCTGTCCTGTGAATGTTTACATTTTCTATTGATGTAAAATATGGAGTAGGCCAAGACTCTGTATTTGGTCCTCTGTATTTCCATTGTATGTATACATGTGGGCTGTATGACTAACAACCTACACGGATATTTCAGGGTTGTATTTAAGTTTGGAGTTTGAAAAGGTTATCTAAAGACCTGGGCACACATTGAGGTGTGCCTCAGTTAACATATCACTTCCTATGCCAATAAAACTTCAAACAACCTGTCAGTCAGATTTCAAACTGCACCACTGTTATGGAGCATGATCACAGCTACGTCGTCAAACATTTATTTCTTGTAGGCTCTTTGAAAATGAGGGTATTCCTGTTCCATCAGAAAAAATATTTGGTTTCTAAATAACATATTTAGAAAACAAATATTATTGATAGAAATTTAAAATAAATCACTCCTCTTATAGAAACGTATTACAAATAAAGTCTGGGTTTAACCAAAGATTTCAAAAGAAACTATGGCAAGTTTTCAGGAAACACTAGAATTAAACACAGAATAGTATCAGAGGAAGCACAAGTTGCAGGGCACAGTTAAACCTTTTATAGATGTGTTTTCCAACATGTTTTTGCAACATCACTAAGACCTGTCAAATGTCTACATTCAAATATGTAAAACTGAATGAGCTTTGTGGACCTTTAAGCCGTCACAACTGAGGTTTGTACAAATGATGAACTACGGCTTGGATGGGTGGGCTGTAATAACATTTATGCCACGATGACGAGCGTCAGCGTCTCCCAGATCGTTTGGATCAGTCCACGTCTCTGAGTGTTCGCTGTTTGTGCGCTCAGATCGTGACGATTCATCAGGAGCCATTTGTTTACGTGAAGCCAACGAAAAGCGACGGGACGTGTAAAGAGGAGTACACCGTCAACGGAGTCCTGATCAAGAAGGTGATCTGTACTGGACCCAACGGGACCATACCAGGTACGCTAACACGCCATCCTCCCAGACCCGATTTGTCCCGTTTTCTGTGCGTGTGTTTGTGCACCGTATATATAAAGTTGAATGACTGAAATGAGGCTGTGTTTATGTGTCCAGGTCAGCCCATCGTCCCGCAGTGTTGCTATGGTTTCTGCATCGACCTGCTCATCAAGCTGGCCATGAGTATGAACTTCACCTATGAGGTTCACCTGGTGGCTGATGGGAAGTTTGGCACGCAGGAGCGAGTAAGTGTCACATGACTCTGTTCGCTGTCACTGCAGCAGGTCCGACTGCTGTTCTGGTTTTGGAGATGACGAACGTCCGCCTGTTTGGACGTGTTGTCCTTCTGCTTTACATGAAAGACTGTATATCAAAGATGGACAACTTAATTGTTTAGTGTTTCCGTCTTTTTGGAGCTCGATGTGACGATGACGGGGGGTCTGACAGAGAGACTGAGCACACTGCACATTCATAGACTCAGTGTGTAGCCCCGCCCTCGATGCTTCCTCCTCCTTCCTCACTCTGATGACATCATCTCCAAATTGAACATTCAGACCTGAGAGCAGCGACTTCGGCTCACTGAGCTCAGATCAGCCGAGCAGGAATCTCCTTGTCTCACAGACTTGTATTCCTAACCAGAAGAGGCGCCCCCTGCTGGCCACCTCCAGGATATAAAAACACATTAAAAATAACATTTTAAACAAAAAGGCTACATCCATCTTTTACATACAGTCTGTGAGTGTACCTGTACACCTGTTTGAATATTTGTGTGTGTCACATCAGCCTGAATAACTTCCAGGGGAAAGTTCAGCTCTCTGCTTTAATCAGAGTATCCTGATCCTGTAATCCTGTGAGGGATGACGGTCACGCTCTTTGCAGCTGACTGTGCTCCGTCCCTCAGGTGGATCTGAGGCGTGGAGCTCAGGTGAGCAGACTGACGATGATGAAGGCGATGAAGGACGTGTGATCTGTGCCAGCACCTTTGCAGGTCGGAGGTTACATTAGATACTGAAACACATTAACCCTTTAAGACCTACCATAGAACCAAGTCCGCCAGAGCTTATATTATATTTTTACACGCTGTAGTGCCATTTTTGGGAGCATTTCAAGTTGCTATACATCAATACAACCATTATAGCCCAGATTTTAATAATATGTATTCATTAAGTGCATAGTAATTACATAAATTGCAAAAAAGTGCAATAAACTACAAAAAAATTGAAAATCATTTTTGCTTTTTTAACATATATTTGTAGTTAGAGAAATTTAAGAGGCTTATCCCTCAAAACTGTAAATACAAAAAAGTTGCACAAAATAGTTTCCCACCAAAGGAAATTTATTTTGAGTGTCTTCATAGTTTTATTTTTGAAATACACCAATTTTTATACACTGCAGGAAAAACGAAAATAAATATTATAATGCAAATTTGCAAAAAAGCAACATATGCATCAAAATAAACTATTTCCAGCAGTGCAATATGAGTCCTCAGCATCCCAGAAACGACACAAAGTCATAAAGTCAAAGATAACTTTTAAAAAGACGAGTATAGGCCCTGAGGCCCTGATCGCAAAAAAGAGTACATTTCCTCGAAAATGACGTCACTTCCGGTTTCGGGCAGGTAATGGCGGAAATGCAAAAGTTCGCGCTGACGTCTATTCCAACTTAGGAAGTGTTACAAACAGCTGATCGGATCGGCAAAGCGTGTTTCTGGAATATTATGTTTTTGTTGCTGCAAGCGCTTTTTATGCAGTTTTTGCAAAGCTATATGTGGAAGGAAACCGTGACCGAGGACAAGCTGATGGCATAAGATGTAAGTACAACTCCTCCGGTTTCATATGCAAAACAAGTTATTGCGCTAGCTTACGTGGTTGCAGAGCTAGCGGGGTTTAAAAATAGTTACGCATAACAGAGCGTTCCCCCTCCGATCGGCTCTAAAGGGTTAAAACACATTTCCATCCAGCTGCAGGCTGATGTTCGCAGGAGCAACGTCACGCACCAAAACAGCTTAGTTACAAACAGCTGTTCTGTTTACATGGCAACAGTAACATGGCTGCTGTGAGGTGAGCTGCCCCAGCAGGCTGTGATTTAGCAGGTGTAGGTGATGGTCAGCTGACAGCATAAGCTCCACCCTCTCATCCAAATACGGTCACTTCTGGAAACTAAAAAACAACATGGCGACAGCGGAGGCTCTGGCCATCTTTCATATACAGTCTGTGGAGTAGTGGTGGCGCGTTGAGGAGAATTTCTGTGTGTGGATGTTGTTCTTGGCTCTGATTGGCTGTGTCATCAGTGAGCTGGAGTAATGTGATTACAGTTCATTCTCAAAAGTAAACGGACAGTCTCTGCTTACGTGTGGTTATCTGCGGCCTGATGATGTCATCGCCATCTCGCTCTCTCTGACCTGCTTACCGATTTATCCCCATCGGCAGCTCGTCGCCCAGGCTTGTTGCCATGGCGACCACCGCTCCGTCCCTGACTCCGACCTTGCCGGAGCCGAGAGACATTTATTCATCTCTCTCTCTGCTGCTCGCTCTCCTTCATCGCCTCCTCTGTGCTCTGGATCCCCCCCCTCCTCCCCCCCCTCCTCTTCCTCCTCTCTCGTCTCTTCACAGATTATTCACGCCTGAAATCTGCTTTATGTTCCTCGTATACCCAGCTCCTGAAGGATGATGTTTCCTGTTTAGTCGATCACATGAAAGCATCTTGTTCTCCTTCATGTTTTATTCAATCTGAGCTCAACCTTTAAAAATGCAGCCGCTTCAGACAAATCTGATCCTCCTTTATTATTTAAAGCCAGAAACTTCAAACCTGCCAATCAGGGATTCGCTGTGCTCCTCCCAGCAGATTGGCTCATCAGTAATCAATAACGTGATCAGGCTGGAGCTGCTGAGCACACCTTACAGTGTTTGTTGTAGCTGATGTGGGTTTGCAGATATTTAACCCTTTAACCTGCTGCAGTGAGGTCATGAATGAACGATGTAAAAGGAACTCAAACCTTCATTAACAGAGCTCCGCCCTCCCTCCCTCCCACAGGTGAACAACAGCAACAAGAAGGAGTGGAACGGGATGATGGGGGAGCTGCTGGGAGGCCTCGCTGACATGATCGTCGCCCCGCTCACCATCAACAACGAGCGCGCTCAGTACATCGAGTTCTCCAAACCCTTCAAATACCAGGGGCTCACCATCCTCGTCAAGAAGGTGAGCGAGCGAGGAAGTGTATACCACGATGAAGGTTCATGATGTGACGCTGTCACGACACAACAAAGCGGTGATGCTCAGCCTGAGCCAGCGTGAGAGCAGCAGAGAACCGAGGTTACGTTTCGTCACAGGGAAACGGCGATGTTGTGCAGTCCATGTTAGTTAAACAGTTCCGGTGTTCATGCACACGAGCTTGTGGTGCTGTCCCTACGGCATCCCTCACCCAGGCTCAACTGACCAATCACATGACTGTGATGTCATAGCCCGGGAGAGATAGCAAAAAAGACACAAATGCCTTTGTCTTCTAGAAGAAATCGTAAGCGATTAATTCAGGCAAAGCTATTATCGCGTTAGGTTTGCTGTTAGCCACGTTTCACTTTGCTGGTGATGCTTTTATATAGTGTTAGCTAACTTCTTGGCTAATGCTAACTGAATGATCCGACAATGTGATTGGCAAGTTGTGATGTAAGCGACACCGACATGGAGATAACAGAGCACGTCACTTTCACAGGCTCTTGGGAGCCCCTGCTAGTGTGGGGGGGTCATCAGCCGCTCAGCCTGCAGACACCTGGGGCCAGGTGAAGATGGAGGACGAGGGACAAACTGTTCTCAGCAAAGTTCGTGTTGAGGAGTCGTACTCGCTCCCATCTCCGGACTTGTTGGGCATGTGGCTGAAAGCTCAGCGCTGATTGTTACTGTGAGAGAAGCTGAAGTGAAGTGAGTGATGATTGGCTGAAGCGAGGAGGTGCTGCATGGACATTTGTGAAAGCAGAGCTGTAGGCCCCGCCCATCAGCGTGCGAACTACCCAGGTTTCTCGTTCTCACGCTGCGAGCCAAGCCGGACAAAACTTTAATTAGTTCATTCATTAAAAATAATCTTCATCAGTAAGAGAGCAGCTCAAAGAGTCTGGAACAGATTAAGACACATGAACATTAAAGGTAATGGTGACCAATCAGGAAGGAGCTGGCTTTAAGGAGGCGGAGCTAAAAGAGTTCAAACAGCTGATAAAAGATTCCTGCTCCAAACTGTCTCAGATAATGTTGGAAATAAAACTAATGACGTGTGTGTGTGTTCACAGGAAATCCCTCGCAGCACTCTGGACTCGTTCATGCAGCCGTTCCAGAGCACGCTGTGGCTGTTAGTCGGTCTGTCGGTCCATGTGGTGGCAGTGATGCTTTACCTACTAGACCGGTTCAGGTAAACCAACACCACGCCTCAGACCACGCCCCCGCCCTCCAAGGAGTCACTCAGCTGTAGACTCATGTTTTAAAACAGCAGCAGAAATCCCAAACTCCACAAAACGTGTTATTAGCTCATCCACGTGTTCGGTCGCACGTTCAAGCCCCTGGTCACAGGGGTGAGACGGTAAAAATGGCGTATTGGCTTTCAACAAAAACAGCCATTCCTAATGAGCGCTTCATTTGGTCTGTTACCGCACGTGAAACGTACATACATGGGACGGGTGTAGGCGGGGCTACATTACGGCGGTGGGCGGGGCTTGAGAGCAGCCGTACAGAAGAATGACAACGAGGGTTTTTTTTCCCAGTCTGTGCCCAGGGAGACACTTAAAGTCCAATCCTGATTTTGTCAAAGGTCAAAATCAGGATTGGACTTTTACCTGTGATGTAGCTGTGAAGTCTAACACAGCTGTGTGTGTGCAGCCCGTTCGGAAGGTTCAAAGTGAACAGCGAAGAAGAAGAGGAAGACGCCCTCACCCTGTCCTCGGCCATGTGGTTCTCGTGGGGAGTGCTGCTGAACTCTGGGATAGGAGAAGGTAAGAGGATGCTGAAGGTAAAGCCGGTGGCGAGACGCTGCTACCTGCTGACGGCACTGTTTCCTGTCTGCTCTGCACGCAGGAGCTCCCAGGAGTTTCTCGGCCAGGATTCTGGGTATGGTGTGGGCAGGGTTCGCCATGATCATCGTAGCTTCATACACTGCCAACCTGGCAGCCTTCCTGGTGCTGGACCGGCCTGAGGAGCGCATCACTGGCATCAACGACCCCAGGGTGAGGATGAACTACGTCATCTTCACAGGAAGAGGTGGTAGTTAAAAGGATGCTATCTGTGTCTGATACAGCATTCAGGGTCCTTATAAAGAGTCTGTAAAGCTAAAGCCTTCAGTCTCCTGAGACATGACACGAGTGGGTTCATACCTGTTGGTAAAAACTGGGCCTTTTAAAAAGCTTCAAAAGCAGGTGGCTCACACTCGATCGTCTGTCCAGGCATCTGTGCCGTCCCTTATCACAGCCCGTCATTTGTTCCTTTTAAACCAGGAAAGTCTACAAAGACCAAACCTGGAAACCGCCCAGCTCTTCGTCTGTGAGAGGACAGTTTCCTGCAACGAGCTTCACCTGGACTGAAATCAAAGATCCAAATGTGTGAAATGATCTCTGAAGTCAGTCTGAGTGCACAGAGCCAGCTGGGGCTGGATATTCTGTTAGGACGATGAGATAAACCTTTATTGGTCCCACACGTGGGAAATGTGTCAGAGAGTGGACACAGAGCTGCGAAAATACAGAAAAATATAGAATAAAAACACTCACAGCAGCGAAAATGTTCAAATGTCTAAAGAAGTTACAGTATCACATCAGGGACAGTATACATGCACACACACTCACACAC